AAGAGGAGGAGCCTCGTCTCGATGCATGGATGCGCAGAGCTGCCAAAAGGCAGGAGTGGCTCCTCAGGAGGAGATCTCCTTGAGAGTAAGGCTTGGGGCTAATTGGCCACTCCCTTAACCTATTTAAGGAGGAATGCCAACTGAAGCAATTTGCAGGGAACAACTTAGTTCACATACCTTCGTGTCTTGTCTTGCTTATCTTTTCAGCTTCCTGCAAATTGCTTCTGGGCATTCTGCCAACCATAGTAAGCTTTCAGTTATTATTCTTTGAATTCCTGGCGGCTGTTAATGCAATTAATTAACAGCCGTTGTTGTAAAAGACTGGTTTATTCAGTAAATTAAAGTTTGAACGGACTTTGTGTGTGCTGCGTTCTTTGGGGTCCGTAGCTGGGGCAGAACACATATATTGAAAGTTATATATAGGTCTAGGAGCCTAAAGGTATTGAAATATCCAGAAATACAGTGAGTCCATTTGAGCTTTCAGAAATAATGCAGAGTTAACCTTCCAGGACAATATACCCCATTAAGCAATATTGAGTGAAGGCTCTGTTTGTTCGATGTTTCACTGGCAGCAGTGCTGTGCGTCAAGCTTCAAAGAATGTCTAAAATATGTGCTCTTCCATCAAAGGATTTGCAATTTCACAGTGGGTAAGGCAAGGAAAAAAAAACCCCAGAAAAAAAGAGAAAGTAGAGATTGAAAAAGAAAGGCGAAGGAAAGGCCATTGTCCACTTGTACGCCAAGTGACAAACTTGACTAGAAAACAAGTAATAAATAGCAACATTTCCAGACCAGTTTTCTTTAAAATGGAATACCACCCCACCCTTGAACTTAAATAGCAAATGGCTACAGAGTTTTGTCAGGCTGTCTCCAATTGAATGGGATGTTTCTAAAGCTGAAATGCTGAACAGTGGCTTCTTGGGAACAATGGACCTTTTTCTGGAGCTCCAGAAAAGGCTTGGTGGGGCTGTCCTTCATAGGCGCACATCATCTAAGCTAGACAAGTACCTGAAAAAAAGGACAATTCTGAGGAAATCAAAGGATTTTTTTGTCTTCAAAAAGGGAAGTCTTGATAAAAGCATTTCCATGTGGCACTGTTGATGCCCCTGTCAGGGTTCCAGCAGATGCCCTAATTAAATCATGAGCCTCGAGCCAAGCTTCAAAAGAAATCCAGTTATTTATTAGGGGCTTCATGTCAGCACGTTCCAAGTGAAGCCAACTCTGACCCCACGTAATTTACGGCCCAATCTTGACCCTGTTTCCCCCCTCCCCCTAGAACCATGATGGCGAACCTATGGCACGCGTGCCACAGGCGGCACGCAGAGCCATGTCGCCTGGCACGCCAGCTCAGCTCCGGTGCACATGTGTCGGAGTCTCTGGAGGCTGGGGACAGCAAAAAAGTCACTTCCTGTCCAACCAGAAGTTGGGAAATGGGCCGTTTCGGCCTCAGAGGGGTGGGGAAGGCTGTTTTCGCCCTCCCCAGATGCATAGAGAGGATCTGGAGCCAAGTGAGAAAGGAAAACGGGCCTACCGGGCCATTGTGTGCTAGGAGCGGGGGGGAAGGGGGTCGCATGCGCGGGGTAGGGTGCATAGAATTATGGGTGTGGGCACACACACACACGAACCTCCCCCGCTCCCCCTGCTTCCTGGCACGCGATGGCAAAAAGGTTAGCCATCACTGCCCTAGAGTGTGTCATCAGTCACATTCACCAACGGAGCAATTTTGCGGGTTGTAGAGATCACTCCCCTCTGGCCGCTGTGGGTAACCCTGGGTGACAGCCTTGAGAGAGATATGTCTGGAATGTGCTTTTGTTTTTTGGCTGCTTCACTGGTTTCCCATTCCCCTTGCCTATGGCAACTCCAGAGCAGGCCAAGGATGCTTTGTGAGTTGACAACCCCCTTCACAAGAGTTTGAAGTATCTTGTAAATGTATCTTCTATCTGTTCTATCTTCTGCTGAATCCAGAATACTGAGACTTCTAAGTCAGTTAATACTTCCTCTAGCAAACCAACAGATGGGTATAAGTTGTAACATTGACCCATTCATAAACACCCCTATCCTCTACAGGCAGATCTTGGCGTAAAACCATTTGTTTAGTGATGCTTCAAAATCATGACAACATTGAAAAAACTGCATCAAAATTCAGATGCTTGACAACTTGTTCTTATTTATGATGGATGAAGTATCCCCGGATCATGTGATACCCTTTTGCCACCTTCTGACAAAGTCAATGGGGAAGCCACGTTCACTTACGGTAACAATTTAATACTTAACAACTGCAGTGATTCACTTAAGAACTGTGGGAAGAAAGGTCATAAAATAGGGCAAGTGTTGGTGACCACCTTTAAAGCACTCCATGGCTTAGGGCCGGGGTACTTACGAGACCGGCTTCTGCCACCAATAGCCTCCCACCGGCCAGTACGCTCACACAGAGTGGGCCTCCTCAGGGTGCCGTCCGCCAGACAATGTTGGCTGGCGACTCCCAGGGGGAGAGCCTTCTCTGTGGTGGTGCCCACCCTCTGGAACAACCTCCCCCCAGAGATACGTACAATAACAGACCTCCGGATTTTTCGTCGGGCCCTGAAAACCCATTTATTTCAACTAGCTGGGCTGGTTTGAGTTAAATTTTAAATTGATTTTAAATTGGGTTGTTTTAATTTTCGGCCAAAATATTTAATTATTTTAAACTGTTTTTAAATTTTGTATGTTCTGTTTTTTACTTTGGCTGTTCACCGCCCCGAGTCCTATTTGGAGAAGGGCGGTATAGAAATAGGAACAAATAAAATAAATAAATAAATAAATTCAAGTAATGATTTCTTCCAACAACCAGTTTGCCAAACTTCTTAGAAAGTTAACAACCGGTTCTCCCAAAGTGGTGCGAACTGGCTGAATCCCACCACTGGTTTGGAGGTCTTCTAGTCCGACCTCTGCTCAAGCAGGAAAACCTATACAATTGGTTGTCCAAATCTCTTCCTAAAAGCTTCCAGTGATGAAGAAGCACCCACAACTTCTGAAAGCAAGCCATTCCACTGATAGTTCTCACCATTAAGACATTTCTCCTCAGTCCTTAGTTAGTTCTCTTCTTGTTTAGTTTCCATCCGTTATTTCTTTTCCTGTCTCCAGGTGGTTTGGAGCAGGGGTGAAATCCAGCAGGTTCTGACAGGTTCTGGAGAACCGGTAGTGGAAATTTTGAGCAGTTCGGAGAACCGGCAAATGCCATCTCTGGCTGGCCCCAGAGTGGGGTGGGAATAGAGATTTTGCAATATCCTTCCCCCCTGAAGTGGGGAGGGAATGGGGATTTTGCAGTATCCTTCCCCTGGAGTGGGGTGGGAATGGAATTTTTGCAGGATCCTTCCCCTGCCACGCCCACCAAGCCACACCATGCCCACAGAACCTGTAGTAAAAAAATGTGCATTTCTCCACTGGTTTGGAGAATAGGTTGAGCTTCTCTTCTTTAAGGCAGCCCCTTAGATAGTGGAAGACTGCTATCATGTCAGCCCTTGTCCTTCTTTTCATTCAACATTAGACATACCCAATTACTGCAACCATTCTTCATATGTTTTAGCCTCCGGTCTCTTCTTGGGTTGCTTTTCTCTGCACTCTTTCCAGAGTCTTCTCATCTTTCTCATGGCAGATCCTTCTTCTAGCAGCAGGATTTCCTGGGTTGGCATTGTCCTCTGTCTTAAGTGTTTTTTTTTTTTTTTTTAAAAGAGGAATAACTAAGAGTGCATGTTTGGGAAGTCTGTAATTCTATGTTAAATGTTTCAACACCGTTCTAAAGCTATGAAGCCCTGGTTGGAGGCTCTCAATATTCTTGTAATCAGATGTGCCTTTGAGCATGGGCTGTGGACAGAAGTTTAGGGGCTCCATCCATCCTGTCTTACTGGTGACACCACTCAGTTTTTCTTCCTGCAGATCATGCCTCTGATAATTGCCCACATCTGTCCTAAACCATCTCTGAGAATCACCAAAGTTTAACATTTCCCAACCTTGCCCAACTTTAAGACTTGTGGACTTCAACTCCCAGAGTTCCCCAGCAAGTCATAACCCCAGGGGTTTAGTCAGTGTGGCCAGTGATAAGGGATGCTGCGAGCTGTCATTCAGTAGTACCTAGAAATGCTACTGTCTCCCCACTCCAGGTGATAGGAGAGAACAAAAGTTCTCAAATCATAGATAATTAGTTCTCAAATGTGCAGTTTGGTTAAAAGAAGGACTGGGGAGACATGATAGCAGTGTTCCAATATCTCAGGGACTGCCACAAAGAAGAGGGAGTCAAGCTATTCTCCAAAGCACCTAAAGGCAGGACAAGAAGCAATGGGTGGAAAATAATCAAGGAGAGAAGCAAATTAGAACTAAGGAGAAATCTCCTGACAGTTAGAACAATTGATAAGTGGAACAACTTGCCTGCAGAAGTTGCGAATGCTCCAACACTGGAAGTTTTTAAGAAGACGTTGGATAACCATTTGTCTGAAGTGGTGTAGGATTTCTTGCCTAAGCAGGGGGTTGGATTAGAAGACCTCCAAAGTCCCTTCCAACTCTGTTATTCTAAATTCTAAAAGTATAGATAATTAGAAAGACTAACACGGTATATGAAACAGTGGATAATAATAAGTCAGGGTCATCCAAACCTTCAGGAGCAAGGATTAGATCAGACTTTCTTGTGATACTATACACTCTGCCTTGAAAATTCTTCACTTGGCCCATTTGATAAATGAACATTCTTAGCAAGGAGGAGAGGGGGGGAGATTATTTATCTGTAATTTGCCTGATCAGTCACCAAGTGTCGTAACCATGGTAGTGGGGAGAGGTGTACCCCCTCCTCCTCCTTTTCAGACCATCCTGTCTTCCCCTTTTTCTACATACAAAGTGACTCAGACTGACAAGAGCAGCAGCTTCCACCAGCTTTGCCTCCTGGCTGAGCGAGAAGCCAGAGGAGGGAGATTCAGAGGGTACAGGAGGGCGAGATAGCAGAGCAGGCATTGAGCAAAGGTAGTTAGCTGGCTGTGCTTCAAATACCAGGGAACTGAGATTTCTGCTTGCTGTGTTGCTGTGGATAAAATACCAGCAACTTGGAATTGTTCCTCAGAAAGAGATGGGAGATATAGAAGAGATATAGACCCATTGCCCTGAAGTTGGGGGGCTGACAGGGATTTCAACAGAACCCTATCCAAAAAGCATCCCTGGGTATGGAAGGATGTTTCCCACTCTCCTTTAAACCAGGGAGGGAAATAAATTGAAAATCTCTTTATCTCTTCCCCTGCAGTTCTAACTGAGGACTTCAGCTGTCTTTAACCAAGTGCTGTTTGCCAACCACCTGCTCTTGAAACAGAAAGGAAAAAAGATGCATGTCGTTTTTTATTCATTCTGGAACGCAAAGGTTAATTTAGGGGAATTTAAGTGTAGAAGGAAGCAGTATCTCAGCAAGCCATCAATAACTCTCAGAAGAACTGTTGGGATAGTTTCAGGCTAGCTTTCCTGGAAATAAATAATCCAATTTTCTTGCCTTTGTATAAAGAGAGAGTAAGCCTCTAAAAGGAAACATGGAGCAGATCTCCACTTACTGCTGAACCATCAGATCAACCGATATCGTTGGAGAAGAAGCTGCAAATTAACAACAACATGGAAAACGAGAAAGGTAAGGGCCTCGGATTCTTCTTCTTTTCTTGCAAAACCTGGTTTGTTTATAGTTTGATTGAAAGCCTGCTAAAATCCTGGCATTTTGTTTTCTCCAGTGACTCATTCAAAATCTGTAAAATCAAAGAGTTACCTGAGATCAGGTAGCAATCCCAAATAACTTCTTTCTTAAATTTTCGATTCCGATGTGGAAAATATCCTTTATTGTTGAAGAGACACGGAGAGAATATAAGAGAAAAGAATTCATCTGTGTTTGTTTTCTTGCTTTTGGAAGCCATACGTTCTGAATGCTTGAGAAATCTACATGTTTATCCCACCAATTTAGAATTAAATTAAATTAAATTAAATTAAATTAAATTAAATTAAATTAAATTAAATTAAATTAAATTAAATTAAATTATGATATCTTATGTATTTCTAATTCATACACTTTCCAGGGCAGGTTAGGTTGCTCTTAGCAATTGCCATTCCAGGATAAACTTGCAGTATTGTATTCTACCAGTCCACTGAACTTTCAGGAAGTAGGATGGGTTATTTGGGATATACGGCTTGAAGCATTCCCTACGAACATCTGCTAAAACTACAGTAGTCCCTGCTGCATCTATCACCCTTCCAACACCTGTTGCAGGAAATGGAAGAGGGGAAAAGAAAATATCCATTCCATGTACATTTTATTAATTAGAGTATAACTATATAATCTGAGAAGTTCCAAAATATAAAACTATGGCAATCCATTCCGATTGTCCATCCATGGAGTTTCATCACGTAGCTGTCCCAGAATTGAACCAGTGCAAGATCTAAGTCCTTTTGAAATTAATGGGGAGGATAAGGACCAAACAGTTCTCTTTCCCAGATGGCTCGAGGCAATACAATTGTTTGCTCCTATCACAGCCATGGTGTTGAGCTTAAATGGACTACGGGAGATGGTAGAGGATAGGAAGGCCAGGAGGAACGTTGTCCAAGGGGTTGCGATGGGTCGGACACGACTTCGCAACTAACAACAACATCACAGCCATGTTTTTGGATAACTCCATAAAACTAAACACTTGGGTTCTGTTTTATAAACAGGATAAAAAGCATTGTTTGGGAACAATGAATAACCTTGCTTTTGTGTGTGTGAGTGTATGAGTGCATGCATAGCATCTCCCTTCCTATCTGCATGATAATCTTTATGTTCCTTGCCATCTTCTGGACAATAAATCTTGACTGTTTAGATTCTTAATTTCATACTCAGGGGCTTGCTAATAGCATAAGCACACAGATAACAATTTTATTACAGACCAGATACAAAGTCTGTCGTAGGGGAACACACACAAAAAATCAAGTCCTTATGTTTATATCTGCTCCAGACTGTAAATTCAAGGCATTTCCCTCCTGCCCTTTTGTGTCAATGGAATTTTGGCTACTCTCTTCCCAATCTTGAGATTGGGCAGCATCTTCTAACTGCTTATATATTGCTCTGTCAAGCCTGAGAAATGATATTCTTGCCTCACAGCAATCTTAATCTTTCTACCTTCATGAAGAACATGCATCTTTCATTAGGTTCATTTTTCTCTTCAAATAAACGTTTGATCTTGCTTGGGCTATCCAAATGGCTCCTACGTCCCCTGGTTTTAGATGTTCCTGTAGCTCCCCCCCCGCCCAAGTTGAGAGCGTTTCAGAGGTGGCAGCTCTTCATGGAATTTCAGTTTTCCAAGAAGGATATGAAGACTTACAAGTTACAACGCTTGTTAAACAAGAGGCGGCAATCTACAGTACATGCTATGGTGGTGTTTGAAATTGCACTGCTAGCATTTGGGGGCAAAATCAAATTTTCAGCAAATCTTTCAAATCAGTCCCCAATCATGCTGCCAAAATATGCCCATTTTGCCACCACTGGTGGAATTTGTGTGTATTTTCAGAGAGACTTTCATTTCCATCTTTAAAAATGGCACACCTTTTTTGCACCTTCTCTTCCCAATAATCTCTCCATCCTTCTTTTTTTAAAAAAATATATATTTTTATTGTTTACATAAAAATATATTGAATACAGTGTAATTTTCCTGGCATTCCACTTGCCATAAAACAAAAGTAAAAACAGAATAACATATATACTATTTTAAACAGTGCTAGTGTTGTACAATAATTTCTGACCATCATATTCTAATATGTTAACTTATCTATCATTCTAATATTTACATTCCTATATCAATATTAAAAGTATCTCTTTCCATGTCCACCTAACCTGATTCTTTCACATTCCAACTTCTACCTCCTGTTTCTAACCATTGATAAAATCTATTCCATGTTGAATAGTATTCTGTATCTCCTTTATCCTTTATTTTTAGAGTTGGTCTGTCCATTTCCGCACAGTCTAGTATCTTCCTTATTGTCTCATCCTCTGAAGGGGTGTTTTCGTTCTTCCACTGCTGCGCATGTACGATTCTTGCTGTGGTGAAGATATATAATATTAGATATATTGTCTTCTCTCCATCCTTCTGAGGGCATCATCTGTGGTCAGTGGAAGCAATTTTCAGCCCACAATCCAAGAAAAATTTCCATCTCTACATTAATTCTATGCAATTCCTATGTTCACACACGTTGTTATAACCAAAGAAATAAACCTTTTTAAAGTTGGAAGTGATGTCCTCCTTAACATAGCATGCTGACACAATAGTTGAATTCTCACAATATACTCAACTATAAATGACCCAAACATCTTGTAGTTCACTCTAGTATACCCCAACGATGCCCTTGAAGTGATGTCCCGGTGCCTGGAGGCCGTACGGATCTGGATGGGGAGAAACAGGCTCAGACTCAACCCATCCAAGACCGAGTGGCTGTGGTTTCCGACGTCCCGATATAGTCAGCTGGTGCCATCGCTGACTATTGGGGGCGAAGCATTGGCCCCCACGGAGAGGGCTCGCAACTTGGGTGTCCTCCTGGATTCACGGCTGTCTTTAGAAGAGCACTTGACGGCCATGACCGGGAGGATTTTTCATCAGGTTCGCCTGATCCGCCAGTTGTGTCCCTTTCTGGATCGGGACTCGTTACGCACGGTCACTCATGCCCTCGTCACCTCCCGTCTGGACTATTGTAACGCTCTCTACATGGGGCTCCCCTTGAGGAGCACTCGGAGGCTCCAACTGGCACAGAGTGCGGCCGCGCGGGTGGTGATGGGAGCGATGTGGCGCTCCCATGTAACGCCTCTCCTGCGCGAGCTGCACTGGCTCCCGGTGGTCTTCCGAGTGCGCTTCAAGGTTTTGGTCATCACCTTTAGAGCGCTCCATGGCTTAGGACCTGGTTATTTACGGGACCGCCTGCTACCACCAATAGCCTCCCACCGACCAGTACGCTCCCATAGAGAGGGGCTCCTCCGGGTGCCGTCGGCCAAACAATGTCGACTGGTGGCCCCCAGGGGAGAGCCTTCTCTGTGGGGGCACCTACTATCTGGAACGAGCTCTCCCCCCCGAGATACGAGGATTCCGGATCTGCGTACCTTCTGTCGCACGCTTAAGACGTTCCTATTCCAGCAAGCCGGCCTGACCTAAACTTTTCCTCTTTTAAATGGGAATTTTAAATTTGGTTTTAAATTATTGGGGTTTTAAATATGGTTCAGCCAAATTTATTTAATTTGTTTTATCTCTATTTTAAATTTTGTATTTATATGTTTTATTTTATGGCTGTTCACCGCCCTGAGTCCTTCGGGAGTAGGGCGGTATACAAATTTAATAAAATGACAAAAAAAAAATCTCCTTTTACTCTAGTCTAGTGTACTGAGTAACCCACAATATTGTTTTCTGTAATGATAGGCTATTCATGCAGACCAAATAAGATGAGGGCACAGGTGGGCTGCTGCCGGTTCGGACCGATTAGGGTGAACCGGTAGTTGTGACCTGCCGGCGCTATCCTGTCCTATATCACTGTGTTTTTGAAGCCGTGCGCATGCACGGAAGGCTGCGGGCATGCGCGCAGAAGGAAGGCTGTGCGAGCTCACATTTTGGTGCTGGGTGAACCGATTGTTACAACTGGCAACAGCCCACCATTGGATGAGCGATTTGGAGCAAAGCCCTACCACTAGCTTGCAGTTCCTAGAGGATCTCGATGTAAGAAAGCATCTGTGGAATGTAGTTTCACTTAGGGAAATCAATCAGAGTCATCAGTTCTCCCTCCCTCCTGCTCATGGCAACTTGAAAGCTTTGCAAGTTAACATTTGATGCTTTCATAGGATTTCTTGCAGAGAAGCCCACTCTGTTCCTGCTTTTAGCTCAGCACATATTTTCTGTTCTAAGGGGATGCATTTCACACGTCTTAGTTTTTGGGACAAAAAGATGACTCATCTTTCTCTTTGGTAACTCCTCTGTAGAAAGCTGCTGCTTTTTTTGTTCATAGATATATATAGATATATATAGATATATATAGATATATATAGATAGATAGATAGATAGATATACACACACACACATATATACATATATATACACACACATACATACATACATATGTAGGTCTTTGGTTATTCGGGTTTTCTCCCGCGTAAAATTGGAGGTGTCTTGGCAATGTTTCGACGAAGTCTCATTCGTCATCTTCAGGCTTTGAAGATGACGAATGAACACATTGAACACATTGCTCCTAGAAGCACGAAGCCGAAAACACCAGCCTGAAGATGACGAATGAGACTTCGTCGAAACGTTGCCTAGACACCTCCAATTTTACGCAGGAGAAAACCCGAATAACCAAAGACCTACATACAAACACCTGCGAAAACCTCAGAATATGTATATATACATATACATGACCAGAAAAATCTCTCAAAGTTCCATCTCTAGACGTGATCTGACTGATCACGACTGAGGTTTTCTAAAAGTCTCTTTGCACAACTACAAAGTCGAAGCCTCCTATCTGAGAGATGGGACCGGCTGCACTCAAATCTCATTACAGAATCTTCAGATATACGTAGCACCAAAAGGAGTTGCAAGGAAATCCTTAATACTTCTTGATTTATTTATCCTCAACCAAGAT